ATCTAGGCTTCTATTTTAAACAAGTGCATTTATTTATTTGTTTGTGAAGCTGTGGTTACTAGAACTATGAAAACTATGTTAAAATACTTTCACACACCATTATTGATTTTGCCCCAAAAAGTCCAGTCACAGAGGTCCATAGTCTTTGTAGCTGAGGAATAATGATACACAAATTGTAAATCTGAAAATTCTGTAAAACTATTTTTTAAAAATAACTTCTAGTTCTGTGGCCTGACACCCCCAGATTTTTATATGACAAATTGAATTCCCTTCCACTGGAGCCTGTCTTCAAACGCCATAGTTAAGTAATTTTAAAACTTGAAAAACTCACCCAGAAATTAGTTTTATGTTAAAAATTTACCTATTAGTTACATGATTGTAAGGTCTGGCTTTTAATCATCATAAAGATATATGGATTTTTTAGGCCACTTCTCAAAGAAGTACTAAACTTCCTGACTAGGTTTGTTTTCAGTTTTTCCCGCCACAGTGTGCTATCTGTAGTTGACTGTATCAGAGATAATCTTCCAGGACTAATGACACATTAAAAATCCCACTGCCATCTACGTTGATTCCAACTCATAACGACTCTATAGGGTCACTATGAGTCGGAATCGACTCGATGGCAATGGGTTGTTTTTTTTATAATGACACGTTAGAGTGCCTTGCCTAATGAGACAGGCCTCGGAGGGTGATTTGCTTCCAGATGATGGCCATGCCTGTCATTGACTGTGGACATTATCCAGGCTGCCATCCCCCAGTGCTGGGCGTCCGTGGAGCTTATCTGGAGCCTTTGATCACAGGGTCTCCCACATGTTTCCATTCTGCTTTGGGTACCTGGAACCATGTCAGAAGTTTCCTGGAGTTTTTCAGACTTGTTTTTTTCAAGGACGTTAAAAAAAAAAAAAAAGCTGTTACTTGCCCCTAATATCAGGAGCCCTGGTGGCACAGTGGTTAAGCGCTTGGCTGCTAACCGAAAGGTCTATGGTTCAAACCCACCAGCCACTCTGCAGGAGAAAAGATGTGGCAGTCTGCTTGTGTAAAGATTACAGCCTTGGAAACCTTATGGGGTAGTTCTACTCTGTCCTGCAGGGTCACTATGAACAGAATCAACTCTATGGCAATGGATTAATGGGCCCCTGATATAAGCGTACTTGTAAAACTGAGTTGCTTCCTATAATGTTTGCTTTGAGAATCTCAGTAAGTTATTTCAGACAGCACAGTGATGTTTTATTCTAATAACTCCACATACAGAATTTGAGAATGCTGTTGTTATATTCCTTATGTGCTCTGAAATGTATTCTAATATTTGTATTTGATAGTTGGTGACTTATTCTGAAGTTCATATTGTCTATTTTGTTGTTGTTTTGGAAGTTTTGCAGGAGGTTTTGGTTAAAAGCATTAAAGATTTTTGCCTCAGTCCTTTCATTGAAGTGTCTGACCATGAATTTGAGGCTACATTGTAGCTCCAAAGATTCAGGGGGCTGACAGAGGTGGGAAGCGTAAAGGTTACCAGGAGAACAAAGGGCAGAGTCAATAGATGTGGATTCGTGAGAAGTGATTTTATATCTGAGACGTAAAATAAGGCAACATGATGGCAAGACCTTCTGAGTGGTTAATGTGGAGTGGAGGGAGCAGGACATTAACCTGAAGTCACAGCATCAGCTGGCTTCTCGCCTTGAGTGAGGATGAAGACAGTTTTGCTATCATCATAATTTTCGTTAAATCACTTAAGAAAGTAAAAGGTTGATTGTGGAGGGTGGCAGTTGGATCCAGACAAGTACTAGAAGATGGTAGAAACCAAAAGCTGGCGTCATTGAAGAGAAAGATGAGGTGGAAAGTACAATAGCGTTGTCTGGAAGAAACAGGTAGAGGATGAGCATAATCTCGTTAGTTCATTCCCAGCAGAGCATCACGATTTGGTGGAGGGCCCAGTTCACTGAGTAAAATGTAGCACCTGTGTGCACGAAAAAATTGGCGAAGAGAGTTCTCAGGCTACAGTGTGGTAGATGCTGGAGAACCAGCAGAAGTATAGAGGTGAATTATGGAGGCCTGTCTTAGAGCATGGATTCACATTTCCTCCATTGAAAGGCAAAGGAAGGAATGTTAGAAAGCTGTGCTAACTTTACAAGATAAAAAGCATAAGAATAAGAATATTTCGTGGATTAGGACAGTTGGCTCAACTCCATCATGTGACATCAGGCCCAGAAAGGACAGCAACTGGCTTTACTACTGCTAAGTCAAATTAAGCTCTGAAGCAGCTTCCTGTGAATTAGAGCACCAAAGCTGTGGTTTATGTGAGTGGTTTTCAGTCGGAAGATCTAGTGGTTCCCTTGTCTGTGACCTTTGCTTTCTGAAAAGGCAAAAGATTTCAAAGAGGATTTGCAGTTGATTGAGCCGAGTGAGTTTACTGAAAGGTAGATTTGGCTTCTCAGAGACAGGCACGCAGTGAAAACCAGTCAACAAACCAGGGCACTGAAGAGCTGTTGGGAGGCTTTTTTTTTTTTTTTAGTTTTTTTATTTGTACTTTAGATGAAGGTTTACAGAATGAGTAGTTTCTCATTAAACAAGTTAGTACACATATTGTTTTATGACATTGGTTAACAACCCCACGACATGTCAACACTCTCCCTTCTCGACCTTGGGCTCCCTATTACCAGCTTTCCTGCCCCTTCCTGCCTTCTACTCCTTGTCGCTGGACTATTGTGCCCCATTAGTCTCATTTTGTTTTATGGGCCTGTCTAATCTTTGGCGACAGAGTGAACCTCAGGAGTGACTTCATTACTGAGCTAAAAGGGTGTTTGGGGTCCATACTCTCAGGGTTTCTCCAGTCTCTGTCAGGCCAGTAAGTCTGGTCTTTTTTTGTGAGTTAGAATTTTGTTCTACGTTTTTCTCCAGCTCTGTCCAGGACCCTCTGTTGTGATCCCCATCAGAGCAGTCAGTAGTAGTAGCCGGGCACTATCTAGTTGTACTGGACTCAGTCTGGTGGAGGCCGTGGTAGTTGTCAGGGAGGCATTTTTAAAGACTTCATCTTAACCCGGGTAGAAGGAATAATTTTACAACTCTGATGAAATAAGAGGCCTGCTTTGGCAATATTTGACAAATTCCTAGGTGTAAGGAGAAGAAGGACAAGTTTATTGTTGCTACATGTGTATTCCCGCTCCCCGTAAAATACAGTCTCTAAGATGTAGAAAATGCCATTGTTGTAGACTGCTTTGTCAAGCGCCATACTTTCTATTACACATTGTTTAAAATTCTACCTTAAAGTCAGAATGCTCACTTTTAACTCTTACAGTATGCTATTGTCTATATTTCGCCACTTTTTCCTTCTTATTTTTTTACTGCTTCTTTTTGCCTGTTAAAAATATCATCAGAAATCCAGAGGTTATGTGGTTAATATGAAAGCAGAAAATGCCTGGGTTGTCATTTCAGGAATATCAGAATAAAGGCAGGATGACAGAGGTTGCAGCCTTTCTGAGTGTTTAGATTATATTCAATCCACAGAGAACAGGCTTTGCAGAAAAACACCATTGAAATATATGTCTTTGTTGCATACTGTAGAATAGCATGTCTGACTGTTAAGATGTAGAAATTGAGAGGTGGGAAGGCTGTGTTTGTGAGCATATTTCAGAAAAAAAGGTTTTTCAGCACCTTTCCTTACCCGTTGGTTTTCTCATTTCCATTCCTGAGCACAAATTACTCTTTTAGCCATATGAATTATGGATTAAACTAAAACGGCAGCGTGGAAATCTTTCGGGTGATTTTTGAAGATTAAGGCAGTATTAGCATTCTGTAGAAGTACAAAGGTAAGATATAAACCTATACTAGCATTAAAGAAAAAAGGTACCAGGGAATTGTTTCCCTCATCTGTGTTTTATTGAAACTGCCAAATGGATAATTAGACAAGTCATCCAACCCCCTCCAACTCTTTATGCCAAAGGGCTGCTCACTTCTGCCCCCAAAGCCTCGAGGTAACTGGCAGAGGGCGTTGGGGTAGAGGGGGCTGGATAGATGCCATGTTCCAAGGGTCCCTGGAGCTTGAGGATTACCCTGTTCTTCAGGAAGAGTCCTGAATTCATGAGAGAACATTTTTGAAGATGCATGTTCTTTTTTTTTTTGTAAAAATATATATAACACAACATATTCGAATGCAACATTTTTCAGGGGCCATATTTAGTGATATCAGTTACATTAATTATGTTGTGTAACTACCACTCCAGTCGTTGCCAAATTTCCCATCGCCATAAACACTCACTCACTCTGAAGAAGCACGTTCTTGATACCATTAAATCTAACAAGAGAATTGCTGGCTTAGATGATTGCTGTAGGTTTTCCAGTAATTGGCATCATATATAACCACTTATGCTAGTGGAAAAAACAACTAGAAAGAGATAAACCAAAATATTCACAGGGGCTTCTCTGGGGGTAGAATTAGGATTGACTTTTATGTTTTACTTTATTTTTCTGCGTACTTTCTAATGTGTTTTGCAGTGACTACTACTTGATATTTTTGCTGAGAATCAAGTATTTCTCTTCAAAAATATAAAAGTATTATCTCATGATTTTTCTTGTCTTTCTGCTCCTTCAGATTTCTAAACAGGAACAAGAGTAATGGTGATAGAGGGCACTTAAAAAATAATTAACCAACTAGCATTTAAAGGTGATTGGTTTTTTTTTCCTTTGATATACTTGTCACCAAAGTCAAGGTGAATTAAACTGATGAAATGTTATTAGCAACATTGATTTAAAATATTCCACGTCAAAGGCCTGTAATATATTACATGCATCTCCTAGTCTCTAGATTCTCACTGTTTATTGAAAGCGGTTTCCAGACCTCCTGGGGTGCATTGATTGTAAGTGCTTTTGAAGGCAGAGCAGTTACTCCCGGCATGGAGGTGGCGTTCAGCCGGTGGGCGCAGAGGCGGCGTTCAGCCGGTGGGCGCAGAGGCGGTGTTCAGCTGGTGTTACATGAATGTTTAAAACTGCGTGTTTTTGTCTTACAGAGCTGTCCTGGTTCAACTGGTGCCTTCCTGGGTCGTGTTTGCTCAGCCTCCTCCTCATTCTGTGCTTCAGGGAATCCTATGACAGACTCTACCTTGATGTGGTTGTGTCAGTTTAATAGCACAGACTGGAGGGAGTTTAAACACAGACGAAATCGATACCGCGTGCTGCGCATTTGCTTGGAATCGCACATCTAACAGGAAAAAAAGGAGAAGAGAGGAACTTCATACGGAGGTTTTGTTAGACTACAGATTATCCCATTAATTTCAAGACTACTAGGTAATATCGCCGGACTTAAGTGGTAATAGGTGATTTTTAAAACTATACGAATGGCATAACTATGCCTGATTCTTGGGTTGAAAGTGTAATGTCTCACACATAAAACACTACCTAAATAATTCCCTCTACGTTTTGTGCCAGTGCTAAACTACTGATTGATTAATTGTAATTATGCAAAGAAATCAGAGGTGTCTAGGATATGAAGATAACTCCTTCCCCAAGTCACATATCAGAATAGGAAGAAATGCCACTAACTTCTAAAGAAGTTTAAACCCTGTATCAGATTTTAATAATAAAATAGCCAAGAGGTATATAGATGATAGAAATTAGGCACGTGTACACTACATTTTTTCTAAGAAAGCCATTTCTTATATGACTTCTTATTTGTGATCACATCCAAAACCTTTGGCCATTTATTCTGGTGACCAAGTGCTTTCCAGTGACTTCAAAGCACACGCATTGTATCTCCGTCTCAAGTTAACCTTGTTTCTGTGAAATACACTCTCATCTACTGTCCCCTTAAATAATTATAGTACGGGTGACTAAATGTTTAATACAGTCGCATTAAATGTTGTGTGAAAAAGTTTAATTCCGTTCTGAGTTAGCACTTTCTTAAAAGTGAAATGACAAATCACACAGAACATACAGTGTCTTCAGCCTGTATATGTGGTGGCATGGGACGTAAAGTCCCATGCCAGCTATCACTGACCAGGGTCAGATTTTAGTAAATGACCCTTGTTTGAAAATAACAGTTTGTAATATTGAGACTTTCAGATTCATTGAGTGATGTCTGAATTACATTCTTGTATTTCAATTCAGGTTGTAAAATATTCAATTCTTTATGAAATCAGTCTATTTGAGAAGGCAGCATTTTGCTAGTACCTGTTTTCTTTCTGTGGAGAATAGCTTTTTAAGAATAGCGGTGGCTCAGAGAGTTCTCAGACATGTCTTACTATGCCATGAAATGTGCTGTGGTGGGAGCATGATGTTACCTCATTCTCATTTGTGTAACTCCCCTCACACAGAAAAAACAAAACGTTTTCCAGAAAAGTCAAGGCTAATACTTCATTATTCTGTACTTCCTCCAACCCGTTCTTCTTTTTCTCTCGCTTGAAATTGATCTTCATTGTCAGCCAAATATATATTTTCTTTGTCTTTTCTGGACAGATAGGGTGTGAGCCAGCCCCTTCTATCAGGAAGGAGAATTGGCCAGCACTTACTTCTGCTCATCTGGACGCCTGTGCACACGCCATCACACACACGTGTAGGTATTCCCAAGTGCCCCTCCCTTCCCCCAGCTCACTAAGTTCCAGGCTATGCACTAACTCACCTCAGTCTGGTACCGTCTGGCCATCTTCTTAGATTCTAAATTTGAAACTTGAAAAGAAAGAAACCCCTCAGATGTGACACCCGTCCTCAGTCACCTGTTGGTCATCTCCCTTTGGGACCATGATGCTCACTTAGCAGCCAGAACTGGGAAGCTTGCTACAGAGAGGAAGAAAACCTGTGAGAGCTAGGCTTTATTCTGGGATCTGGCATTCTTCTTCAATAAAAAGAAAATAAAGGAAGGCCGAATGCTTGAAGATGGTTGAAAGGCAGCCACTAAGGGTGTCAGTAGACTGTGACCCAGTTGTTAAAATAGCCACCTCCCGCTCCTGTCTAGAAGCAGGTGGAGAGGAGGGGGATTATGAAGTATTTAATGTTAGTCAAAATTATTATGTTTGAGGATATTGCCGTATAAAATTCTGCTATAGTAGTAAACCTTCTGATACAGAATATTTTAATTATGGTTAATTCCACTTTCACACAAAGAAAAGAATATTACCTAAATGACTAATTAGTTCAAAGATATCCCCAGTGGGTGATGATTATAAGTTCTCGAAGTGTGCCAGGAACCAGCCATTGTTTTTAGCATACACAAGTCCCTCTATCTCAATTGTTTCCACTTACCCTTCCAGAAGGTAACTGTCCTCATCACAAACTGTAACTATTTTAAATGATCAACATCTCAGATACACCAAGCCTGCTAGGAAGAGAACGAAAAGTCTTGGGGGGATTCGGGGAGGATTACACATTATTTATTTACCCGAATATCTCAAATCATATTTTTTGTTGTTTTTCTTTCTAACATGTGTCAAAGTAGACCAGCTGCTATCTTTGCACTTTCTAAACAAACGTTATAGAGCCCTAATGAAGTGTTGTAACTGAAAGAAATCTTAACACTCCACTAATCCAAGCCCTCATTTTAGAATTTATAGAAACAAGAGGTACAGTCTCTTGCCGAAGGTCCTAACGCCACTTAGTGGTAGAGCTAAGACCCACATCTTCTAGCTCCCAAACCAGTGTTTTCTCCTACCTCACGTTTTTGGGTGTTCATGAATACTCTCTTATGTTCAGAAATGATAAGGCTTAAGAGTAAACTGCCATTATTGAGTATGGGAAGTATAGGGATTAAAGTGAGGTGAGTGTTTGATTTTTAAGTAAAACTATTTTGTTTTCTTTATCCTGTAGGTGCTCCAACGTCTCTTAAGTTTTAGCTAGTAGTGACATAATATAAAAAGATTCTGATGAATAATTCAATCCTCATAAACCAAGTCAACAGCATTATTAATTGGTAACAACATTCTGTGGTGTACGTTCCCTGTGGCTTATCAAATACTTCACAGTTTATTGGAAGAAGCATTTTTTAATATGGTCCATGGTGGAGGTATAGGAACAAGACGATTATACACACAAATGCATTTCACTGGAAGATGGAGCTAATAAAATAACAAGAAGGAATGAAATAAAAATGTAGTTTTGTATATTTAAGCATATATGGCCTAAGGGCCAAGTTTTACAATAGATCATATATTCATGCTTAATTATTGAGAATGTTTACAACTTGTTTTTATGAGACCTCTCTAATGAAGGATCCCAGCTAAGAGATTTTAGATTGAAGAGATTAAATTCCCATCCACTTATCTTTTTAATTAGGTTTTTTTTTTTTACTATTATTTCTGCTAAAACTTAGGAATGCATTTTGATGTTTGCATAAGTGCAAGCTTCATTTTAAACTCAAGATTAAATACACAAAGTGCTTTAAATTAATGTTAAAAATCATATTAATTTTACATTTGTCCCTGAAATAGATAGTACAGAAGTTAGTGATTATACCATATTACTAAGCAAGTACAAAAGCTGTAATATGAAGAAAGCATTATATTAAAAAAGAGATATATAGAAAACTATGAAAAAGTCTGGACAGACTTATAAACATAGGAAAAATACAATTCCATTTTAATTTGGAATTATAATCATACAAAAAGGGATTAGATAAAGTTTATTTCTGTACTCTCAAACAGTTTGCTGGTTGCATAGGAAATATAAGCAATACTTGGGGGAATGTGGTGGGCCTTCCTAGAAGAGAATACTTCATGGTGCAATTTTTGAGTGCTTTAACAACATCCATTTGGGTGTGTTGTACTCAACAGAGACGGGTCATGTTCCCTTCATTTATCCTCTTGGCTTACGTGGAACCTCAGACTTAGGAGATGACCTCTAGGAACTAACACCATGACCTTAGGAGACCCACGAGGGTGTCAGCTATGATCAGGGCATGGGAGCAATATAGGCTGGTGTAGAGTACAGGCAGTGACATAGCTTAAATCTCTCCCCTAAGCCATTGTGCTTTTTACCAACCGTTTAAATTTGTTGTTGGTTGGTGCTCAAACAATATTAGCCTCTTTCGCTTAACAGTTTTCTGATGCTCTGGCTGGTCCTCATTGTGTGGTACCTCACCTTTCTGAACCCTTGAATGAACCTAACCTCAGCTCTATACCTGAGACTCTCCCAGATCTCTACTTCTTTATCCTGGAACAGGCTTCTTCACCCTCAGCTTCTCCCTAAGCTCCAAAGCAGAAAACCCAGCCTCATTCCTAACTAGTTTATGAGCCATATACCTAGGCTTCCCGCTCCTGAATAGGCCATTAGCGTGGTCAGAACATAAGAAAATCCAGACACTCCAGAAAGATTTTAACGATTCTTCTCACAGCTAAGTCTTATAAATTAGAATATTTCACTGAAATAGGGGTTATGAAGGTCCCTAACGAGTTTTTATAGTTATAATTTATTGCATTTTTAGAATATGATCTATTTAAATTGCTTGATGGAGTCTTATGATTGTACTTTGCAACCTGGTGGGTTTCAAACAATAGCTTTCCATCTTAGCCCACACTCAGAAAGAGAGGGCAGAAAGTTACCCCAGCCTAAACATAGCTAAAACATAAAACAAACCATGGAATTTATTTCAGCAGCTTATCAGAGAACTTTGGTAGAATGATTTTAACATTTCAAACCGTTTTGGCTTTAACCAGGCTGGCCTTAGTACATTGTAAGGCTTGGGACTCCAAAGGAGAGACCAGAAAATCAACCCAAACATCTCAGTACTCTTAGGGTTCCTTATTGGTTCTTCTAATTGGTAAAGGAGGCTTCTGCAGCCTTGAATGAAATGGCAAGGGTAACTTGGATAAACTTTTAATTTACCTTAATGTTAGAAAATGATACTTCTTTAAACTACTGTTTAATTTAGACTTCCGATTCAGATTGACTTTCTTCCCATTTACCCAGAAGAATCATAGAATCAAACAGATGATCTAATCCAACCACCTCATTTTACAAGTAAGTCAGCAGAGAGCTTTTTAGGTAAAATGACTTGGGAGAATTCACACAAGCTAGCTTTTAGCACATCACCCAACCCCTAGACCAGCATTCTTTTTGTATATGATCAATGCGATAACCAGAAGTAAATTCCTTTAGGTACATTTTCTTTTCTTTTTAATTATACAAGAAGTACCTGAATGTATTAAAAAAAAAAAACGTTTAGGCATTATAAATACCCAATTCAGAAATATAGAAAGTAAAAATGAAGTCCACCTCCATGCACACACGCTGTCTAATCCATTCCCCTCTCCAGAGGTAACCCCTGTGAATCCTTTCAGAAACTTTTCTATACATTTAGATAAAACCAAAAAACCAAATCCATTGCCGTCGAGTCAATTCCGACTCACAGCGACCCTATAGGACAGAGAAGAACTACCCCATAGGGTTTCCAAGGAACAGCTGGTGGACTCCAACTGCTGACCTTTTGGTTAGCAACCAAGCTCTTAACCACTGCACCACCAGGGCTTCTAATCAAATACAGTAGTTGATAGTGTAGACATTTCACAGGCCTGGTTATGTGTCATCGAGCTCTATCATATTCTGAAGTTTGAAAGTGGATTCCAATACGCGATATTCTGTTTTATTATTGCA